GCGACTCCGTTCTGCTAATCCTCTGGCGGTTTTCTGGGTTATTTAGGCAGGTGTAGGTGGAATCTAAGTGATCAGCAGGACGCGCGGTGAGCCCAGGGTCCTCCTACGCCGCCATCTTCCCTCTCTCCAAATACACTTGTTTTAAATGAGTGTTCCATTTATACAGTAATTTGTACCATTTACTTAATGCTTCTCCCCATTACACAGGCAGACAGAGTCTATTTAAATATAAGACAACTATGGCTTAGCTTAAGTGATGCAGTGGAATTCCAAAGTGATTAGAGAAATTAGGAACCAAATCAATACATTTAACTGTATTTTAGAATCCAAATCAGTACAAAACTATGGTTTTCATTCTCTTCATCCAGGGCGAATGCATCATGTTGTGTGGAGTGGGCGGTAGAGTGGGGAGAGAAAAATGAGCATTTATGTAGAATCTAGTTGGTCCCAGATATCTCTACTCTTTCACAAATGATAGCCATCAGGGTTTTAATGTTTTTCTGATGTCTACAGAAGTGAGCTTGATTTTTTCCTGTCTGTGGAGGGGGGAGTGAGTCTAGGTATGCTCAGACAGTATAGTCTGTTTGTTTGTTTAATAGGGGCAATAACTACTCCTAGACAAAGAAAGTAACTTTTTCGGGCTCTTTTATCTGTGGGCAGGGAGACTCTGGGGATCTGAGATCGACTGGGTTACCAGGAGGCCAGGTGCTTTGTAGGATTAGATAGAACTTTGTCCATGGAGTAATACCTACTGTCAAGCTTACTTCCTTGTTGCTTTTGTGTGTTAGTTGAGAAACCCTGAGTAGGAAAATAGGAGAGGAATGGTAGATGCAAAGTTTCCTTTCTGAAAAGCTGATAATTTTTTTGTGGAACATCATAATCAAGAAAATGTTGGTCATGTGGTGCCTGGATGGCTCAGTCAGTTGAGTGTCTAACTCTTGATTTCAGCTCAGCCCACGATCTCACTGTTTGTGGGTTTGAGCCACATGACCGGCTCTGCACTGACAATGTGGAGCCTCCTTGGGATTCTCTCTCTCGCTGTCTCTGTCCCTCCCTCACTTGTGCTCTCTCTCTCTCTCAAAAATAAATAAATAAACTTAAAAGAATTAATACTCAAAAAAGAAAATGTTGGTCACTTCAGATTTTGTGCTAAGTGGAAGGTAACAAAGGACCTGAATATGTGCAAGTTGAATAGATTTAAAATGCGTGCTGTGCAAGCATATATTTATCTTGCTTATGTTTTAAAACTACTAGATTTAGTAACTTGGTACTGTAAAAGTGTCATCTGTTCAAGGCTTCATAAAATTTTATGGTTCACTGGTATGCATTTCAGCAATGGATGAGTTCATCTTTGCGTGCAGAACTAGGTTCATAAAAACTCAGTCAAATCTTGTAATTCTTTATAATTTTATAGTTAAAAGGACAGGTGGGATTGGTTTCCTTGTTTACTCACATGTCTGGTTTAGGGATCACTGAGAAGGGTCATCCCTGTTTTTGCTTCGGTGATTCTTATGTTTCCCCTATCTGTTGATTTCAACTAAGTAGAGTTTCTGGGATGGGGAAAGATTGCTTCCATAAACCTAATTTTTGATTTGTGTTTGATAGCACTGCCAGCATTCACAGTAGTAACTGTATTTCAAGAAATCTGATGAGAATCTTGAGTTTTGTTTTTCCTTTGGACATTTTGTAATCTCATTTGTAGATCTAAGTAACTAGAACCTGATTTCCTCTGTCGGGGGAAGAAGACAAAACAAAATCTGACTATTAGCATTCAAAAAGGTAAGATTTTACTTCCTCATTAAAAACCTTTTTGTTACACTTAGTTTGTCCCCATACCCAGTATTTGGGCTTTCCTTCACGAAGGTTGAAGATCTATGGAAAAAACGGTCCATACCAGTAGATGTGTGGATATTTTTTAATCTCCAGGGAAATTTGTTATACTGTTTCAGGATTTTTTTAATTTATAATTTATTTTGACATAATTTTAAAAAGTTTTGAGGTTTATTTTTCAGAGACAGAGAGAGACAGAGCTTGAGTGGGGGAGAGGCGGAGAGAGAGGGAAACAGAATCCAAAGCAGGTTGCAGGCTCTGAGCTGTCAACAAAGAGCCTGATGTGGGGCTTGAACTCATGAACTGTGAGATCATGGCCTGAGCCAAAGTCAGATGCTTAACTGACTGAGCCACTCAGGTGACCCTATTTTGACAAATTTTAAACTTAAACCTTGCACTTTTTACTCAGATGCCCCACCTGTCAACATTTCACTGCATTTGCTTGTTACTTTTACTCTTTATATACCCATTATCATTAGTATTTTTCTAAAAGCAAGCTGTCCATATGGTGTTTTATTATCCTTAACTCCTTTGGTGTATGTTTTCCAGAAATAAGGATCCTCTTTTATATAGCGACTCAGTCATTGTTTTGGAGCAGCCCAGGGGAAGTGCAGCCTCATAGTGAATGCAGTGGTGGGTGCTAAGGGACTGTCAGTCAACCACGCCCTTAACATACTTAACTAACCACCACATCATGTCTCTTTTGTCTCATCCAACCTGGTATTTTTCTGTCTCACCCTTGAACCTTGATTACTTGGTCATGTTGGTGTCTACCAGCCTTTTCCACCGTAATGTTACCATTTCTACTTTGTAACTGATAAATACTATGAGGGGAGATACTCTGACATTATTCCAAAACTGTAGTCCTCATTAATCTTCAGCCCACCAGCTTTAGCCCCCATTGATTCCTCCTTCCCAAGTCAGCAGTAACATTCACTATGATAGTTATCAAAAGGTGATTTTTCTGTTTTCATCCAACTCTTCAGTATGGATTAGATTGTAGTCTACTAAAAGAAAAAAAAAAGCTCTATTCTTCCTTTCTTCATTCATTTCTTTATATCAGTATAGACTCATGGATTTCATATTCAATACCATTCAATAGTATTGCATTATTATCATTATTCTTCTTGATAATCTTACTGTTCCTGATTGGGTCAGTGGGAGACCTTTGCTTTTTTTACCTTGTTCTTTGATATATTTTCTCATTTGAGTATTTTCTTGGCACAGCAAGAAGTTTCAGACTCCCTGAATACTTACCCTGCTTCAGACCTGGAACTAGCTGTTGTTCCTTTTCATGGAGGATGGTATTTATAAACCAAGATCTGGGTGTTTGGAATGTTCGTTGCCATTGGGATGTCATAGCTTCTAGGCCTTCTCAGTGGGTAGACCTAGGGAATACACACACACACACACACACACGTGCTTATACATGTACCTAAAGCTTTCTATATCCATTTGTGTATATAGATTAAAACTCATGACTTCTCAGTAATACCTTCAATTCTAATCTTATACCTAGGGTTCTTTCTACATTTCTATTTTTATAAAATATCTCAAAAAGTAAAAAACCTGGTTCTCATTATCCTTAATATACTTACTGATTTGCTTACTTTTCTTATTCCTTAATGTAAGTAATTACCCTGCCCTCTAGCTGTCACCTCTGTTCCTTCCATCTCCCTTCACAGCCTGTGTTCTGTTACAGCTGTCAAGAAGTTTTTCCTACTTCTTGACATTTTTTTAAAGTTTATTTTTATTTTTGCAAGAGAAAAAAGAGAAAGAGCACATGTGTGGGGGGCGGGGGAGGGGCAAAGAGAGTGAAAGAGACAATCCCAAACTGACAATGCAGAGCCCGACATGGGGCTCAGTCTCACGAACTGTGAGATCATGACCTGAGCTGAAATCAAAAGTCAGACGCTTAACCAACTGAGCTTCCCAGGTGTCTTTTGACATTTGTTTTTATTGAAAACTTTTTTTTTTTTAGCTTTCCTGTAAGTAACTGTCATTTATAAAAATGTAGAGACTCATTTATTCAATAAATTTTAAGTGTCTATGAGGTGCTTGACATTGTATAAGATGTTAGTGACACAGTTATGTCCTCTGTTCCAGAAACCTTCTAGTCTAATGGTGGATTCATACAAGTAGAGGACTTTACTGTTTAGAGGGACAGATAGGGGGATTAGAAGATACCATGGAAGTCCCTAATCCTAAATTGGAGGCCTGGGGGAATGAGAGAGAGAGTGAAGAGTGTGTGTGTAGAACAAGGTAGGGAGGGAAGGTAGCTCCAAGCAGTGGGAATGGCATGGACCTCTTCATAAAATGAGACCAGAGGATTAACCATTATGCACTAAAATGTGATAGATGTGACATGAATCCTTTAGCTAGGTTTCATTTGATGTATTCAATGATCTACCCATTGTACCACTGTGCTGCATGCTATGGTGGGGTGGGGGGGTGACACAAGATTGCACCATCTTGTTGACAAAGTTTTACAATACAGTGAGGGAGATTTTCCTGCATGTACATGCTGTAAAGCAGTAAATAAGGGTGGGAAATGAGTTTGGAGGGATGATATTAGAGTGGAGGGCAGGGTGGGGAAACAAGGGGATTGTAGACCATAAACCAGAACAAGCATCAACAGACTTTCTATAAAGGGCCTTATAGTAAATATTTTCATCTTTATGGGCCATACATCTGTGTTGCAACTAGTCAATTCTGTCACTGTAGTGTGAAAGCAGCCATGGACGTAAATGAATGAGTGTGGCTCTGTTTCAACGATACTTTGTTTATGAAAACAGAAAACAGGTGACCAGCTCTCTTTTTCTGGCCCTTGGACTGTGAACTCCAGGAGGCCTAGGACTTTGTTTTATTCTTTGTCCCATGTCCTAGAAGAGTGTCTTGTACATACGTAGTAGTCACTGGATAATTGTGTTGAATGAATGGAGGGAGAATTAGCCACTGCTCCCAACTGGAACTCTTTCTTGCATTTGTGGTTGTATGTTATTGTTGTTTTCTGTAATGCTAGGGTTTAGTGCCAAAGTAAGCCCAGCTTGGGGACCTATAAAATTGTCCTAGAGCATTCACATTCAATTTTGGGCTAATCATTTAGGATTAGTTGGTCTTTACTTGAGTAAATGTTTTAAAAACCTGGAGATTTTTTCTGATAATGAAGTCTTAGTGAATGACAAGCTTATTTCTGGTCATTTTAGAAACAGTTACTAGGTAGCTATTAATAAAGAAGATGAATCAAGAGCTGCAGATAAATGCATCTTGAAAGTTCACTCAGCCAGTATGTCTTTTTACTTTTGGGGATGGGGGGAGGAGAAGAGGTCATTGAAAGAATAAGAGATTTTTCTGTTCTACAGCTTGTTCCTAGTTTACCAAACTCATTGTATTTGTGCAGCGTTTCTGTGCGAGGCACCACAGTTGAGTAACAGAGTGAAAGCTACATTTCACCCTAGCATCCACCAGCCATTTTACAGTTGTGACAACTTAAGTTGTCCCCTACAGAAAGTGGCATCTATCACTTCTACACTGAGAATTTCCCAGTCCAATTACCTGAAACTTTATAAGGAAGAAAATGATACATATTGAGAATATATATTTTACTATTTCTAATTTAGTAAAAAATTTGTGAGGGTTAAGAACGGGTGATGTGTTTTTTGTTTTACCTGTGAGGTGCTTTATTCTAGCCATTGACTTTCTACTTCAGATATATTGTTTTTTAGTCTGAGTAGATTTAAGTAAGAGTGAGAACACTCTTACTGGGGATTCTAGAAGTCCATTGACTCGTTAATTGTGTAGAACTTGACTAAGTAGCAAATGAGGTGACTTGAAGATAATTAATGTCACTGAACATTAGTTAAGACTGAAGCTCTTTACACTGTGTTTGGGGGGATAAATGTTAACAGAGATGTTTCACTAGACTCTGCTACTTTGAGGAAACTTGAACTTCCTTGTGTCCTTTTTCAAAAAATATAAATGATTTAGAGAAGAAGTGAAAGGAATTTAGAGGGACCCAAGCCATTTTTCTTAGATGTCTTGAGTATTGATTAACATCGTTTATATGTGGGACTTATGTTAATTGACAGTTCGGTGTCTTTTTCTTTTAAGAGTTGGTTTGTGCTTGTTTTTTGTTAATCACTTTCATTGAGTGTATTAAATGCAGACCCTAAATTAATAGAACCAGTTTTGAAACAAGCCATTAAATTGGTATGTCTCTGTGTTTACAGTGGCATCATGAGACCTGGCCTCAATGCCATTCTGGGACCCACAGGTGGAGGCAAATCTTCGTGAGTATAATAATATAAGTCAGCTTTTTCTTTGCAGCTTAAATGTGCTTTTCAAGATTATTTTTACATGAGCATGTATTTGTTGAGCATTTGCAGCCTACCTAGTCTGGTTCTAGGCTCTGTGGGTAACGTGCAACAGTGCTAGCTTGTGGTTGTCTCAAGGACCGGGAAATCTTATTTGGTCAGCTTACTAACAGGACATGATAATAGGACATGATTGGCATACAGCTATTGGCTATGATTTCAGCTATGGGGAGAGAAAGGAGGGAGAAAATAGAAAGTGGGGAGATGGAGCCAAAGGCATAAGTTAAGGCCTGTGTCTTAGACAAAGGAGCACATTGCTTGCCTTGAGACCCCCCAAGGTCACAGCCTGGAAGGTTCTTTCGGAAGTCTGTGCTGGATCAGCCAACAGTGCCTCGGTTTCATGTCTTTGGGCTTTATTGTAGCATATACTAAAAAAGGGAAGGTAAGATTTTAAAAATATAATTTTAGGTAATCTATAGAATTTCTTGATCAGTTAATTTTCTAACTTGAGCAGAATTTGGATTCAGTGGAGCCGAGAGATATAGCCTGAGTTGGAGAAAAATCACAACGTATATGTTCTCTCATAGGTTGTTAGATGTCTTAGCTGCAAGGAAAGATCCACATGGATTATCTGGGGATGTTTTGATAAATGGAGCACCTCGACCTGCCAATTTCAAATGTAATTCAGGTTATGTGGTACAAGTAAGTATTTATGCATTTTTTTTTAGCTTGTTTCTATTTCTATGTGGGCAAGTACCTTGGCTGATAGTTTAGTGTACTTCCAACTGACTACATGACATACTCATAGAACCAGTTTTCTTTCCACCAGCTTTTCATAATCCCCCGTAAGATTCAGAGTAGTGTGAAATGAAAAGGCAGGGAGAATCTGGAATATAACCATGGTAAGGGCAATGGTATCCATTCTAGTTATCATTTCCATAAGACACTACTGAATTCCCTTTTGGCCCTACCTTCACCCCTGTCCTTCTTCGAGCTTAGAAAGATGTTCTGGTAAATCCTGTATAAAGCAGTCTGACATGTCTGCTGGTAATAATCATAATGACCTGTGTCTCTTTGGGTGTACTGATACAGAATGAAAATTATGCCATCAGGCTTTTTCAGCTGTCTATATGTGAAGTTGTTGTCATTTTTATGATTGCAAATACATCATTAGCTAGGACTTTAAATTGAGTGTGTTATTCTTGTGGATTACATTACATGTACTTAAGGGTGATGGTATTAGAAAAGACCTAATATGTGTTATTCAAATGCCATTTTGCTTTAAGGATGATGTCGTGATGGGCACTCTGACAGTGAGAGAAAATTTACAGTTCTCAGCAGCTCTACGGCTTCCAACAACTATGACGACTAATGAAAAAAATATGCGGATTAACAGGGTCATTCAGGAGTTAGGTCTGGATAAAGTGGCGGATTCCAAGGTAATGTGGAAAAAACAGACAGGATCGTAGCTGGCAAATAGGATCTTACCTGTGTAGATAGTGTAACTCTTATTCAGAAGTTTTCTATAATATGTGTGGTCAAAAGTGACTGCTTTGTGTAAAGATGAGAAAAACATAATATGGAGATGGAAATTAGCCAGAAAAAAACTAAAAGTGTTTGAACCCTGCAAATGAAGTGTGGCAGTGTGCTCTAGTATATAGAAGTGTCTTTGCAAAGAGCATGAGGCCCTTTCCATGTGATGATAGCTCTTGACGCTTTCCCACACCGTTTGTCATGGGTCATCCACTGTCTTTACACTAACTTTCCTTCTTCCTGTTTTCTTTCCCCTTTTAGCTCTTCTTCCTCTTCCTCCAGGAGACTTTGTTCCATTGCTTTTGAGGTATATTTCTGGAATTCTTAAATGGCAAAAATCCAAGGGTTCTGGCTCTACGTTTCACTTTGCTATAATTTGGCTTTCATTTAAAAAAATTTTTTTTTAACGTTTTTATTTATTTTTGAGACAGAGAGAGACAGAGCATGAATGGGGAGGGGCAGAGAGAGAGGGAGACACAGAATCGGAAGCAGGCTCCAGGCTCTGAGCCATCAGCCCAGAGCCCGATGTGGGGTTCGAACTCACGGACCATAAGATCGTGACCTGAGCTGAAGTTGGACGCTTAACCGACTGAGCCACCCAGGCGCCCCATATAATTTGGCTTTCAAAATTATATTTAGTCAAAGTAGAGTTTTCTTCCTGTTTTTTAAGCTTATTTATTTTGAGAGAGAGCGTGTGCACGGGAGGGGCAGAGAGAGAGGGAGAAAGAGAATCCCAAGCAGGCTCCACACTGTCAGTGCAAGGAGCCCAATGTGAGGCTCAAACTCACGAACCCGTGAGATCATGACCTGAGCTGAAATCAAGAGCCAGATGCTTAACTAATTGAGCCATCCAGGCACCCCTAACTTAGGGTTTATTTCTAATTTGTGTAGCATCCCAGTCGTTTTTCTATAGCCTTTCTTTTGGTACTTTTGTCTCTTATTCCCCTCTCCTCTTCATATCTTCCTTTCTTCTGCCAATATTTACTTACATATTGTCTGTTATGTGCTGGGTTCTTAGGTTTTAGAGATAACAGTTTGGGGCCAGAGAGACAAAAATAACTCCTTTTGTGGTTGTGCAGAGTCAGGAGGAAGAAATGAAATGAATGAGAGAACTTTACAGTTGATGACTAGAGATGAAAGATTTGCTGGGAAGACATTTGAAGCTTTGGGTGAAGATGAGCTTTTTAGATTGTGGTGGCTGTAGTTTAGCATTCTTTATTATTTTAAAGATTTTATTTTTAAGTAATCTCTACACCCAATTTTGGGCTCGAACTTACAACCCTGGGATCAAGAATTGTACCCTCTACTAACTGAGCCTGTGGTGGCAATAGTTTAATCCCCCTGTGAAATCTATCCTCGACTTAGAGATAATGAAGAAAGGGGGCATTCTGCTGGCTGCTGCTTCATGTGATACTGACATTTAAAAAAAAAGGTTAAGTGTATTTTGCTATATTTTGCTTGGAAGCAGCACTCCGGGATGCCACCATTTACTACTTTTGTTTTATGAGTTTATGGGTTTGGGTTTCCTTTGCTTTGGCTCTGTTTTTCATTTTGTCTTTTTAGTAAGGTGCTTTCCAATCTTTATTTTTAGGTAAAACTTCTTTACAAATAGACAGCCATTGCCCTAACTTATTTGCATAGAATTCCTGGGAAATGAGCTGAAGGTAGTTGTTCACTTCTTAGAATTTATTTATCTAATTGATTGAAAATACTTTCAACATTCTTTTACTTTTTATGAAATTTTAAACATAGAATAGTCTGATTACTATCCTAATTGTATGATTATAGTATAATTAATATAATGGTATGATACTAATAACATTCACCTAGATCTCCCAGTTGTTGACATCTTATCCCATTATGTGCTTCAGCTTTTCTTCTGAAGTATTTTTTTGAAGTATTTTAGAGAAAGTTATAAATATCATATTTCACTCCTGAAAACTGATTATGCATCTTAAAAAAAAGACATTTGCCTACATTACCACAATACCATTATAAACTAACAAAATTAACAGTGTCTTAATATCAGTTACGTTAAGCCCCTATTCATTCACATTTTCCCAATTGTCTCCAAAATGTCTGTTATGGCTCAATTGTTACAAGATCCAGCCAAGGGCATCAGTAGCACTTGATTATCTCTTTGAAGACTCTTAATGTAGGAAATGCTTCCTACCTCCCCCCAAACCTTCTTGTCCCCTCCATCCCCACTACGTACAATGACATCGACTAGTTGAAAAGACTGAGCCAAAAGAAAAGACTACAGTTGCCCTGTAGAATGTTCTGTCTTCTGGATTTGTCTGAAAGAACGAGTGAGGAATTCTGCAGTGAGTTGGGATATATGCAGGGTCAATTTGGGAAGCCTTATGGTGATTTAAGAGGTGCTAATGTGGTATAATAGAAAGTGAACTTTCTGTTTCCCAAACCACACTGAGGACTTTTGGAGGGGTGAGGAGGGAGAGTGTAAGAAGATTAATAAATTATAGATGCTTTCCCCTTCTCCTTTCCTACCTTTATCTCCCTTTTGGTTTGTGATTTCAGTATGCCAGGGCCAAATCTTTTACTATTCTAATTTGACTTGGTAAGGAATATATAGTACTGTTAAGCATGGCTTTCACATCAGGCTTAGCCACTTAGCTGATTTGAGCCTCAGTTTACTCATTTTATTAAAGAGAAACCTACCTCTTTTCCCATATTTTTATTTACTTACTATTTTGAATAAGCAAGGGATGAGATATTGCCTCTTACAGGGTCAGCTCATTGTAGGACCTCCACAAACAATAGTGGCTGTGGTTGTAATTGTTAATAATGATATTTGTGTTTTAGGTTGGAACTCAGTTTATCCGTGGTGTGTCTGGAGGAGAAAGAAAAAGGACTAGTATAGGAATGGAGCTTATTACTGATCCAGCCATCCTGTTCCTAGATGAGCCCACAACTGGCTTAGACTCAAGCACAGCAAATGCTGTCCTTTTGCTCCTGAAGAGGTAAATGCTATAGGAACATTATTCTCTCATCCATGTTGAGAGAATATCTGATCACCTGCTGTATATCAGGTGTTCTTCTTGGTATAGGGAATTCAGCAGTGAGCGCAATTTCTTCTGTCTTTGTTGAAGGGCAACAGTTGATCGACAAATATAAGCGTTTCAAGAAAAATGAAGCACGGTAAGAGCGTAGCAAAAGATGGCTGTAGTGGGGGTGGGGGTGCTATATTAAACAGCAGGATGGTCAGAGAAGACCTCAATGATGTGATATGTGAGCTGCGAGCAAGTAAGCAGGACCTGGATGTCTGGGAGAAGAGAGTCCTCCTTGGAGGGAAGAGCCAGTGGGTCCTGAGGCAGAGTGTGCCTGATGTGTTTAGAATATCAAGGAGGCCAGAGGGACTGGATGCTGGTGAACTAGGTAGAATGGGGATTGCTTATCGATTAGTTTGCTAGGGCTGCCATAACGTGGTATCAATGGACTGGGTGACTTAAACAACAGAAGTTTAGTTTTTCATATTCTTGGGAATCTAAAAGCCCAAGATAAGAGGGTCAGTAGAGTTGTTTTTTCTGAGGCCTTTCTCCCTGGCTTGGCTTGTCCGTAGTCATCTTCAATCTGCGTCCTCACTTAGATTAAGGCCCACATATGACCTTGTTTAACCATAAGTCCCTCTGTAAAGACCCTGTCTGCAAATACAGGTATATTCTGAGGTCATAGGGGTTAGAACTTCAACATGAATTTTGGGTGGGGGACATAATTCAGTCCATAACAGAATAGGACATGAGATGGAATTGAGTGGGTGGCAGATTACAAAGGCTTTGTAGGCCACTGTAAGAACTGTGGGTTTTATTGTCTCTAGGTTACATGGGAAACTTTTAGAGAGTTCTAGAACAGAAGAGTGGCAGCTGTGTAGAGAAAAGACTGTAGTGCAAGGTGAGTATAAGGAAAGCAGTCAGGAGGCTGTATTAGCTCAGTGGAGATATGATGCTGGTTTTGACTAGGATGGTAGTGGTGAGTTGGTGAGAAGTCATGGATTCTGGATCAATTTTAAAGATAGAACCAACAGAATTAGTTCATGAATTGGACATGGGAAGTGATTATTGAAAGAATGAGTTTCTAAAATTTGGGACCTGAAAAATGGAAGAATGGAGAAAAGAATTGCATTTATATTTATTCCTCCAGTAGGAAGAATATGTTTGTAGGAGAAATTTCAAAAGTAAGTTTTGGACATTTAAAAAAATTAAAAATAAATTTTAACCTAACAGAAAAGTTACGAGAGTAGTACAAAGAAATCTCATGTCCTCTTACCTAGATTCCCCAGCTATTACCATTTATGTGCATTTGCTCTCCCTCTGTCCCTCCACCCCACATAGTCTTTTTCTGACATCATGTACCATCACCCCTAGATACTCTGGAGTATATCTCTAAGAAACAAGGACACTCCTCCTACAATTCCATCTTACACACCTCCCATCCAAGGAGTCCACATTGCTGCCAGCACCACCATCCAACCCATGAACTCCAGCTGGACTTCACCAGTTGTCCCAAAAGTGTCTCTTTCTCCTTTCTGGCTTAGAATTTTCTCCAGGAATGATTTTTAAAATATTTTCTAATTCTGAACAGTTCTTTAGTCTTTTCTGGCTCTCATGTCCTTATCTGTCTTCAAGAGTACATTTCGTAGAGTGGCCCTCAACCTGGATGCATCCAGTGTTTCTCTATGACTAGACTCAGGCCATGAATTCTTGGTAGGGATACCACAGAAATGATGTTGTATTCTTGTGCAAAAATCAGGGGCTGTGTGATTTATTTTATTTTATTTTATTTTATTTTATTTTATTTTATTTTATTTTATTATTTATTTTATTGTATATTTATTGTCAAATTGGTTTCCATACAACACCCAGTGCTCATCCGAACAAGTGCCCTCCTTAGTGCCCATCACCCATTTTCCCCTCTCCCCCACCCCCCATCAACCCTCAGTTTGTTCTCAGTATCCAAGAGTCTCTTATGATTTGCCTCCCTTCCTCTCTATAGCTTTTTCTCCACCTTCCACTCCCCCATGGTCTTCTGTTAAGTTTCTCAAGATCTACATATGGGTGAAAATATAAGGTATCTGTCTTTCTCTGACTCATTTCACTTAGCATAATACCCTCCAGGTCCATCCACATTGCTGCAAATGGCCAGATTTCATTCCTTCTCATTGCTAAGTAGTATTCCATTGTATCTATAAACCACATCTTCCTTATCCATTCATCAGTTGTTGGACATTTAGGCTCTTTCCATAATTTGGTATTGTTGAAAGCACTGCTATAAACATTGTGGTACATGTGCCCCTATACGTTAGCACTCCTGTATCCCTTGGGTAAATTCCTAGTAGTGCTATTGCTAGGTCATAGGGTACTTCTATTTTTAATTTTTTTGAGGAACCTCCACACTGTGTTCCAGAGTGGATGCATCAGTTTGCATTCCCACCAACAGGGCAAAAGGGTTCCCATTTCTCCACATCCTCACCAGCATCTGTAGTCTCCTGATTTGTTCATTTTAGCCACTCTGACAAGTGTGGGGTGGTATCTCAGTGTGGTTTTGATTTGTATTTCCCTAACGAGGAGAGGGGCTGCATGGTTTTGACTTTTCCATGGGTGATGTTCACGACCATCAGCTGGTCATGTTGGTGTCTGCTGGGTGTACCTGCTGTGAAGTAATTATTTTTCCCTTTGTAATTGATTAATATTTTGTCAGGGGAGATAACTGGTTATTATGTCCATATCCTGTTTCTCATCAAATCTCTACCCACCAGTTTTAGCATGTACTCACAACTTCTGCCTCGATCAATTATTGGTGTGATGGTTGCCAAGTGATTTTCTATTTACATCATTCTTTCTACATATATTAGTTGGCATTCTACTACCAAGAACTTTTCCTCCTTCTCTATTCATTTTACTCATATTATTTTAGTCAATACATTATAATCTGCTATTACTTATTTTCTATGATTCAGTTAGCCCTGATTTGGCCATTGGAAGCCCCTTCAGTCTGGCTTTGTGTCCTTTTGACATGCTCCCTAATCATTCTTCAAGCATTTCTCTACTTCCTGGTCAACAAGATGATCCAGGCTTGTCTTGTCCTTTTCCTGTGTCAGATGTTTCTCTAAGGAGCCCCGGTACCTTCTGGTGTAGTCAGAATTTAGAAACCAAGATCTGCTTACTTAGTGTAGTGTGCTTGCTGCTACTACACTGGAAGTTTCATTGCTTCCAGACCCACTTAGCAGACATACCTAGGAAATATTTGTGTACATGTGCGTTATGTATGTGTATATATATAACACAGAAATATATTTTTATATTGTTTTTATCAAAGATTTTATTTTTAAGTAATCTCTACACTCATCATGGCACTCAAACTCATAACCCTGAGATCCAGAGTTACATGCTCCACTGACTGAGCCAGCCAGGCACCTATTTCTATTTGGAAAATATATGGAATATTAATTACATATGTGTATACATATATATATTTTGAATAGAATGATAGATACAAACATACATCTGTAACTATTGCTCTGTTAGTATGTGTGTATTAAAAAACTCAAGAATGTGTAAAATTTCCAATCTCGTCTAACATGAGTCCTCTTTTTAGTCTTTTCCCTTTTCATGTTTGTTTGTTTTTTAAAATGTTTATTTATTTTGAGATAGAAAGCGAGAGTGAGCACATGAGTGGGGAAGGGCAGAGAGAGCAGGAGAGAGAGAATCCCAAGCAGGCTTTGTGCTGTCAGTGCAGAACCTGGTGTAGCACTTGAACTCACGAACTGTGAGATCATGACTGAGCTGAGATCAAGAGTCAGACACTTAACTGACTGAATCACCCAGGTGCCCCACCCTTTCCACGTTTGTAAATGATTTTTTAGACAGACAAAGTCTTAGCTGTCATTATCTCAATATATTTACTTACTTGGTCAGCCAAGTAACTTAACTGTTAAATATTACTAATCTCTTAGTCACTCTGGCCATTTCCTCTGCCCACTACCTCTGGGACTGCTCCCTAACCCCTAATTTTTTAAAAGCTACCAAACACATCACCTTTAATGACATCCCCTCCTTGTCATTACCTTGCTTCCTCTGATGCCCATGCCCTCATAAGCAAGTCTCTATGCTAGGATAAGAAGCAACAGGAAGATTTTAGATATCTTAAGTTTGAGATGTCAGTTGCACATATAAGTGAAGATGCCAACTAATGGGTCTGGGGTTCGGGTTCAGTTAGAGAATGCATGATATCTTTGTCATCTGTAAGTATGTTAACAGCATTCATTAGAGAATGGTGAATTGATGTGGCATACTTGACTGTGTTATGTTTTATCATGTTTTGTTCTAGTTAGCACACAAGCATCGTTCCCCCTGTTGGAGGGCTCTAACCTGGTCCTTTTCACACTCCACTGTGCACACTAATCACTAGGGTCGTGTTAAAATCAGATTCTGTTTCTACAGCATAGAGTCCAAGAGTCTACATGTCTAATAGGAGATACTGATATTGATGTCATTGGGCCTCAGACCACAAGGCTTTCACACCAATCCACTTTCCTGCTTCCAGTGCTTCACCAGCCCTTTCTTACCGTCTGACTAAAGCTGCAGCTTCTGAGTGAAGGGATTCATCATGGGCTTATTTTTTGATGCAGTCTCTCTTACTAACTTTTTCCCCTCCCCCAGTCCCAACTCCTGCACATACCTCTGGGCTCTGCAATGGCATTGAACTACTTGTAGTTTCCTTAGTAGACCTTGTTATTGCATACTTTTTTTGCCATGTTCCTTCCACCTGACTACACTTTCTCTTCTTGGCTTACTCCGGTTGGCCCCTTTGATACACTACTTATATTATCTTCAGACTGGGTTATAGTCTTCTATTTTGCTTGTAAGAAACCCTCAGCTTCTTTTATTCCACACTGTATTGAAATGGTTGATCTACTGGCCCGTTCCTATTTGGGGCGGAAGGAACTTATAGACACTGCTAGCATATAGTAAGTAGGTACTTAGAAAATGCCTAAATTAACATGATACCTCTCATAAAATATTTCCAATAATGACAGATTTTTAACAGTGATTTGGCCTTTGTTTTTTTTTTTTTTTT